GCATTTGATAATGTAACTACTTTATTTCTAAATAAAATACGACATGATCGCTGAATTTTAAAAAAAAAAAAAAAATTGTTGGGTAAATATCAGATACAAGATTTCTGATATGCTACCAATATGGTATATTTATCGAAATTAGGTACACATTAGAAGTTTTGTATTCTGATATTTATCTGATACTTGCTCTTCGAGGTGCACACTATTTCAGGATACACATGGGCATTATTTTGAAACCACCTATGCTATTTTTAGGGGCATGATTTTTGAAATAACATGCCTGCTTGCTATTTATGGTAATTTAATATAAAATTTTTTAGGGTATATTATTCTAGTTTTTTTTTAGGGATAAATTAGAATTTAGAGTCAAAGTTACTTAGAAAAAGTATAAATAGATTTTAGTAGAGTTTATATTTTCAAAAGAAAATTTCAAATTTTACTATCATTTGATTTTATAATCATTTGCAATATTTATTGTTGCAAATATTATTTAAAATATCAAGATTTAAAAAAAAACAACCTAAAACATTTATAACAACTTATGAATAAGAAATGAATTAAAATATTAGTTATTAGAATATTTTAAAAAACTAGTATGTGATTATACTAGATATGTTTGACAAATCAGCAATATCTTGATTCTTGTAAAATAGAATATATCATCACTCTACTATCATAGTGTATTTAGATTTAAATTTCAATATTAAAATATATTGCATAATCATAAATAATGAAATTAAATTTTTATATTCTTTGTTTAAACATCATGTTTAAGTTTTTTTTCAACTTTAAAATGAATTAGCAGGCTTTTTTAGTGCTTGGCAAAATCAAACTTTTTTTGACACCCAAATACATGTGACGGGCTGACTTTTAAATCAATACAGCAGTACTGTATTTTATAGTTATCGCATTACCGTATTGCTGTATTGATTTAAAAGTCAGATCGTCATATGTATTTGAGTGTCAAAAAAAAGTTTGATTTTGCCGAGCACTAGGCTTGTTAAATGATAAGTATACAGTATTGATGTTATCTGGCAGTTATATATAACTATGTGATGTTTTTTTTGTGATATTTTTGCATAAATGATTATGTAACCTTATGCAAAAAAATATAATACCAAAAAAATTTCACATGATCAAATAAATACTAGGTAAGATAAACAATACACAGTCAAACCTTCCTAAATGCAACCTCCTAAATACAACCTCTCTAAATGCAACCTCCTTAAATGCAACTTTAATATATTTCTAACTCTCATAAATACAATTTTTTATTGTTCTCTAAATGCAGCTATCAAAAGTTTGGTTGTACTTAGAGAGGCCTCTAACTGTAATATATTTGAGAATATTGTAGTTTATTATAATAAAATTACACATTAAAAAAGTACATATCATATAAATGTGAAATAATGCCCACGGGTATTAATTTGAAAATCAGATTCTCCTAAAATAGTATATGTAGTTCAAATTAACGCCCATGGGTGCCCGAATTAATGTGCATCCCTATAAATAAATAAAAAAAGATAAATGCTTCAGAAATGGTTTGACATTAAGTAAACCTATTTTTTTGATTTTAGCAAAAGTTGTTCTTCAGATCGAGATGATTCTAACGGTGGTAAAATCATCAGAACAGTCCTGTAGTTCGCTCGAAATGCCTCTTTAAAGTTTTGCAAAATTTGCTTATCTTTGTTTATAGATTATGTAAACAAAGGTAAACAACGTTGCGAAACTTTGAAGAGGCATTTCGAGCGAACTACGGGACTGTTTCTGATGATTTTACCACCGTTAGGATCGTCTCGATCTGAAGAACAACTTTTGCTAAAGTCAAAAAAATAGGTTTACTTAATATCAAATCCAGCTCCGGAGCACTTTTTTATTCTTATTATAAATAAATACTATATATAATAGTTAGGGGTCGAATTTAATTCTTGTTTCAAAATAACGCGCAGGTCAATTAATTAATGCGCAGGTGGGCATTATTCACGCTTGTACAGTAGCAATATTTTTATAGATGTTAAAATACATAAATTATCAAAATACAATAGTAAAGAACTTTTTTAAAAAAAAGCAAAAATAAAAATCTTAAAAGTTTATTATAGATCAGCACTACTAGGCGTTGGAATAAATTTTGAATCTTGATGTTTTTTATATACACGATATCCAACAAAAGAAAGGATTGCACCAACTACAATACCACCTATAGCAATACCAATATAAATTCCAACATTAGATGAAGATGATTGTTCTGAAGCCTTGGATGAAACTGGAGCAGCTGTAATAGTTGGAAGAGCTGGAGCAGCTGTAGCAGCAGGAGCAGGAGCTGCAGAGCCAGAAGCAGCAGGAGCAGGAGCTGCAGGGCCAGAAGCAGCAGGAGCAGGAGCTGCAGGGCCAGAAGCAGCAGGAGCAGGAGCTGCAGGGCCAGAAGCAACAGGAGCTGCAGGGCCAGAAGCAGCAGGAGCAGGAGCTCCAGCAGCACCTGCGGGTTGGAAGACTGTGAAAGTTCCAGAATATTTATTACCAGAACCGTCGTTGAGAGCAAGGTAATAAGTGCCCGTGGGAACATTGACCGTCCATTGGTAAGATTGAGTACTGAGAGTTATGGAACTGCTAATTATGATTGTGTTTTTGGTTGTGTTATCGACAATACTTAAAACGCCTGGAACTGCATTCGCTTGCGGAGTATATGACCAAGTGATTGTGATAGTAGCACCATTTGCAATACTACCAGCAGGTGTGTTAACTGCTGAAACCTCTAAAAAATGCAGGTAAGATGTTAAAATTGTTTGATATATCTAATTTTGAATCAATTATCCGTTTTTTATGCCCTCTAGGATGTTATTTTAGTTATCCAATTTTTTTTCGTTTAGGATTACCTATACGGAATTTTTTACAGAATTAATGTTAAGAAGCGGATAAGTAAATAACATCCTTTATTTTGCCTATAACGATAATAATGATATACCAAATTCAATTAATCAAAAAGAAAATTTGCTAACTTACGGGCTGAAGCAGACCAAATGAAAGCAAATAATAACATAAAAAAATAAATTAACCGTGACATTTTTATTGATTATTTTTATTGCTATTATAAATAATTTAGAAGGGAGCTTTTTATTTTTGAGAGTAGGTCAACGGATATTTTTATATACGTAAAAATTGTTGTAACCATAAATAATGACTGTATTCGATGACACATATTTCAATAGCACAAAATAAACTATTCAATCTGTTTCTAAAAGTGATTAAAAACAGTTGTAATTTTTAGTTTATAAATATTTTAGAATTTTAGTTTTTTGCTTTTTAGAATATAAAAAATAAGTGATTTTGTTTTGCTTAATTTTATTTTTTTTTTTATCCATTTGATATAATTAAGTTGTTTAAAAAATATCGATATAAACTAATCATGGTTCCGTGTCATGTTGAATTTCCGTACGTACGTACGTACGTACTTTGTTTCTTACTCCCAGGTATTTAGTAAAGTAGTACAGTACGGGAGTACAAATAAATATACGTATAGACGTACGTTGTGAAACCCCCCTAGACACCCACAAAAATTTTCCGGAAACGTGATTTTTGACCAATCAAATTTCAAGATCAGGTGTAACGTAAACAATCGAAG